CAGAATCACAACAATATCTTATTTCGAAGGAAAATAACAATTGAAACTGCTCCCTGATGCATTCTCCATGGCGGCACCTTGATCCAAATCCACTTGCCAACCAATCAGCAATTTCTTCTAATGTAGTGTAGCGTGCTGCTCCCTCTGAACTTTGGTATTCTTAAGATTTTGTCCTCGTTAGTCAATGAGGAAAAGCTTTTTAAGCTTGCCTCTTTTTAAAGCAATACTGAGGTTTGCACAGCCAAACAACTGCTTAAAAATTAGTACTTTCATATTCATTTAGCCAAGTTAGTATCTATCAGAATACTTCAAAATTATGGTGAATATTTTAAAAATCAGCAAAATAATAAGTATCTTCCACAAATGTAACATTTCCTTGATTACTAAGCACTACTACAGTTCATTGGCTTTACAAATATAAAAATCAGAAATAAATGTTACTGTTTAAACTGTTCTCTTTGTGATCATTGCTCTGTATCAAGTTAGCTGATCCACAGCAGAGCACTGATCAAGAATGAGAATTTGCCTCTGTATGTGTAAATCAGCAATATAGGAAATCCACCAGCAATGCCTACACTGCAGTCTCTGGATATAACAGGTGGACCATTGAATAAATTCAGGCAAAACTCCTGCAAAGCTGACCATAACAAACCTGACACTGCCCAGATGGCTAAAAAGCTTTGCCAGCCAGGTCCTGTTTTCTCAAAATTCACATGGCCAGCATTCCAAGACAGGACACAGATGATGTTACAATGGCACTCTGAAACACATCTTCGAGTGTGGCAGCGTTGAAATTGACTGCGAGGAGCTTATAACCATTGTTCAGAACAGTGAAAAGTTGTCCATCACGTTGCATTGTGCTTTGGGTTCAAATAACTTAATGATGAGGCAGAGTGATAACAGAGAAGAAAACAAACCCTGTACTTCTGTGATCCACCACATCATGGGAGATTAAATCAAATAAAGTAAATTTTAAAAATCATTTATGCAACAGTATATTAAGTAAATTTTAGGTTGTAAAATTATATACCGTGTTATTCTTTACAACTAGGTTTTCCTCTCAAATCAGTGCAATTGAACAATTGCACCAGAAAACAAAAACTTCAATAATTTTTTCTTAAGTCCACAAACATAACGATGTTTGAAACAGCTTGACTTAAAAGAAGCAAAAATATTAGACATTAATAAAAAATGTTTCAGTGGTAAAAAGATAGCCTCATGTTGCTGAATATGTAAAAAGTTGAAAACTTCAGCTTTTATACATCAAGTAATTCTAAATAAATGACAATTGTTAATTAAACTTATAAAAAACAAAAAATTTCATGAAAAATAAGAGCTCTAAAAGAAACACAGGCTAGGCAGAAAATCAAAAATATATTATAGTAATAATTTCAAGTTTACCCAAGCTAATCCGAAAACACATCTTAAAACGCTTTGAAAAACATCCAGGATTTTACTTGAAAGCCAGTTTCAGTTCCTCCTCAATTTTTTTATATTATTTCATGGGATGTTGCTCATCCATAATTGCCCAATGCGAAGCCGGTAGTGATTTGCTTTCTTGAACCACTATACTCTAAGCAAAACAACCCCCAAATTAGGGCGTTCAGGAAATTTTTACTCAGTGGCAGTGAAGGGACAGTAATATAATTCCAAGCAGAGACTGCATATCACTTGAAGGGGAACTTGCAGGTGACGGCATGCTCATCCACCAACTGCTCTCGCCCTTTGGATAGCACAGGTCACTAATTTGGAAAGTGCTGTTGAAGAGACTTTGGTGAGATACTGCATTGCATCTTGCGTATAGTACACAATGCCAACACTAACTTAATTTGCGGGATGGGATGCTGATCAAGTAAGCTACTCTTTCTTGAGTTGTAAATATTTCTTCTCTCTCTAAATCAACCTGTTCAGAGCCGTTATTATATACCACTGAAGCAGGTGGGACTTGAACACGGGGCTGCCAGTGCAGGGGTAGGGACACTACCACCGTGCCACAAGAGGGCCCCTCCTGCACCGAGCTTCTAGAATATTGGAGTCATATTGATTCAGGAGAGGGAAGAATAATCTTGCAATTTATTCCCTGCAGCTCAGCCCTAACAAACTTAACTCACAGACGAAAAAGTTTTTATTTAACCTCTCTCAGGATAAGCTTTATCCAATTAAAAATTTTAGTTTTTGTTCAGTGGAAAGAAAAATTAGATGTGTAAATTGTCTTGTGTCAGCAAACTTAGATTTATCATTTAATGTAGAATTACCTCCAGATTCGTGACCAATTGCTTTTGCTGTTATATTATTTTCACTAACCTGGTCTGAAGTAAAGCTTCAAGAGGTGTGAGCCGGTCCTGAAGCTGTTTGGAAACAGCAGTAAGAAGAGATGCACAAACTGTACTGCATCCAGCCAGGTCTTCTTCCTTAACATAGTTCAGCAGTACAAAGTACCAGAACACAGAACCTGTGTTAAAAAGAAATGAAATTACTTCCAAAGCTGGAGCATATTTCTGTTGAAATTGAACGACTAATTGGAGGAGGAGTGAATGGAATGTTTTTGTGCTGTATATTGTAATTCTACTCAGTGTGGATTTATTCATTCAGGATCTGACCATGACGTATCTATTCAGCACAACTGCATTTCAATCTGTACTTAATAAAACAGCTCAAATTGCAAACTGAGAGTGGAGAGCTCCACGGCACATCACACAGATTCTCAGGCTTTTGTGGCACAACGATAATGATCCTGATCTGGAACAGAAGGCTAGAATTCAAGTCCCACCTCAGTCAGAAATGTCTCAACATATCTGAACAGGTTGATTCAAAATACTTGAGCCACAGATTCTGTGAGGATGCGACGTAGCAGGTGATATTAATTTAAGAACACTGTTGGTGTACATGAACCCAACTTCCAAACAAGAATGAATACTGCAAGGGGAACAAAATAATGCATCATACAGAGACCCTTAAATCAGTCTCAGCATGCAATTTGTATCAAAAGTACATTTAATTTGGAACACAGAACATTAAATTGGTAACTTAAAGCATATACGAAAACCTACTTAAACTAAATTGCAGGTATAATTATCCAAGCCAAAAAGTATTTAGGTAGCATCAGAAGTTACTTGAGATACACAAATCCTGACAATACAAAAGGAGCAGAAGACCAAACAATGGGTTTCACACCAAACATAATATACATACAACCAAAATACATATGGTAGAATAAACAGTATTATGCTGAATGTTGAAATAACTCCATAGTGAAGTATCCCACAGATTATATGTCAAATTAACTCCATTGTTACGGAGGGGCACTAGCCAAACCCCTCCGATAAATAAACTAAAATACAAACCCCAATCTGTTATGACAGGAGTAAGGGGTTCCCCTCTAATAATCCCCCCCGAAACACCCAGAGAAGCTCGCCTTTCTCCTTGTAATCTATTAAAAGAAAGAGTGGTTAGAAGAAAAAAATCCCTGATCTCCACTTCAGAAGTGACAAGAAACAATTAATTTATTTAACCCAAAAATGAACAAATTAAGAGAATTACTAAGAAACCAACAATTCCCCCTTAGACTACTAACTACTTCCTTAACTGTTCTAAATTCTACTGGAATACTGTTCAAATAAATACAAGTCCCACTTAATAAACCCAATTAATAAGAGAACAATGAATTATAACTTAATTTCCCCAAGTTCACACAGACTGTCTTCTGGAATATTCCTATCTGCGCTCTCATCACAAATGCCTTTCTTCCGCTAATTCTGCGGTCAGGGATGTTTTATCTCTATAATTTCTTCAATGAGGACTTTGAGCTGCAATACTGTGGTACCTTTGATTAATTAGATCGGCTTTTTGAGAGCTGAATGGTGTTAACTCTGGCAGATGGCTCTCCACCGATTTTCAAAAAAACACTTTCTTAAATACCACCGATGATGCAACAAATTCTCACAATATTGTTAGATTCAGGCTGCCAACACAATCAGATTCAAATTTGATAGGTTTTTAGTTTCTAAGAGCTTGGTTTAAATTGATTGGCTAAATTTGAACTTGTCGTCAAAACATCAAAACAAGTCTGAGGTTTTGCCTTTCACCTGCCTTTTTGCTACAAATGTTTCCATTTCAAGTATTTTCTGTAATTGCACCTTCCGGTTACTCTCAGACCTACATTTTAAAAAATTTCTACTCACAAATCCTTTAAAGCGACTACAGCGCTGCTTTTTGCTACTGTCATTTTTATCCGACAAATTCTAATTTACTGTCTTCCAATTCATAAATACTTTGCAACACCATTAATAGTAAAAGTTCCATATTTCATCAAACAAATAATTCAAATCCTCCAAAAATACTCGACATTTAGCAGATGGTTTAGTCAGTGTTAGTACTGATGAAGGAAAGAGGTTAATGAATACTACTAAAATAGATAGTGGGCTGATATATCTATTAGTCATTACAAATGATTAAAAGATTACTCCACTGTACATAGGTAGATCTGGGAAGATCTTGTTAAGTGGCATGAACATCTGCCCTATAATCAAAGCTCTTCTTAGATATTTGATGCTTCCCCCCCTACCCAAAGAAGACAGCATCCTATGCAGAAAACTGGGTGATGGTGACAAGGACAATTTTACAGCACAAAACAGCATTGATATTTCTTGGCTCCCACAAGGGACTCTGAATAATCTCTACATAGACAGAACAAAGTTAGCACGAAAATCAAAACCACAGAACTGCGGGTTATTCCAGCTTTAGACTTTTCTGCACCCGAGTATAAGTTTAGCACTTCTACAGAAACAGCAGACATGGCAAAGATCTGTACAAATGCTGCATTCCTTTTAATAAGTGAGGCAAAAACAAACAAACAAACTTTGGACAACACCCCATAAGCTTTTACAGCCAATCGCAACAAACTTAGGAGGGAATGGAAGAGTTACTTTACATCATATGAATAGGCAGAACATGAAATAGTAATTAATGAAATTATAAAATAAATCTATTGAGTGCAAAAGCAGGCTATTTTTTCATGTAGAACTATCTCTACATCATTGTCAGATGAAACAGAATTTAACCTACCACCAGTTGCTGCTGCAGGTAAGTAAGGCAAATTATCAAGTAAAGCTTTCAACAGAGCACCTCCAAATCCCAATTGGCTTGGATCTGTTTTCCCATTACTAAAAAGAATGGAGAAAATGTTTATTCTTAGTTTAAAAGAAAAAGCATGACAATAATAGATCCAACTTATTAATGCTCTGGTCTCATTTCTAATAGGAAACACAAAAAGCAGAGATGTTGAACTGGTATTTTGTGCCTATCTTCACTATGGAAGGCACATAACATACCATGAATACTTGAAAATTGAGGGATGAAATGAGATGGGGGGGAAATGATACTGAGAAAATGATTAGAGCTAAAGGTTGACAACACCCCTAAGATTGGTGGTTTCATCCTAAAGTCTTAATAAAAAGTAATTTCAGAGAGTAGATGCATTAGTTGTGGTCTTTTAAAATTCACTGAACTCTGCGTAGGTCCCAGCTGATTGAAATATTGTTAATGTAACATTTTAGTCAAGAAAGGAGGGAGACACAAAGCAAGAATCTCTAGGCCTGCATTATTTAGAAGAGAAGAGCAGAATATTTAGAGAACCATAAGTCAGGCAGAACCAATATGGTTTTAATATAAGTAAAATCCTGTTTGAATAATTTATTATGATATTTTTGAGGAAGTAATTAGCAGTGTGGATATACCTGTAGAGGTGCATTCTTGGATTTATTCTAAAGGTATTCAATCAGGGACCACAAAGGTTATCACACAAATAAGAGCTCATGGTGTTGGTGGTAACATTTATGTAGAAAGATGACTGATTTCTAGGAGTCAGTAAGAGTAAAGGATTATTTTCAGATTGGCAAGGTGCCACCAGCAGAGTGCCACAGGGATCAGTGCGGGGCTTCAATTACAATTTATGTGAATGGCTTGAATGAATTGACTGAATGTGTCATCAGCTTTAGTTGTCATTCAAAGTTAGGGAGAAAAGCAAGTTGTGAAAAAGGACTAACGAGTCTGCAAAGGGATATTGGTAAGTTAAGTGGGTGGATAAAAGTATGGCAGATGGAGTGCAATGTGGGAAAACGTTAACTTGACCAATTTGGCAGGAAGAATAGAAAAACAGATCTTATCTGAATGGAAACAGACTGCAGAACTCTACAGTACAGAGGGATAGGAGCGATCTGACAAATGAATCCTAAGAAATTAGTATGCAGGTACAGCAAGTGATTAGGCAAGAAAATGGGATGCTGGCATTTATACTCAGGGAGATACAGTATAAAAATACAGAAGTGATGCTGCTGCTCTACAAGGCCTTGGTTAGACCCCATCTGGAATTCCTGAGAGTTGTTTTGGTCTTATTGCAGAAGAATATATTTGTACTGGAAGCAACCAGGAAAGATTCACTCAACTTATTCCTGGATTGAAGGTATTATCATATGAACAGGTATTATCATATGGACAGTTTGGGCTTAATCAATTTGAAATTTAAAAGAACGACAGGAGTTCTTACTGAGGTACATTAGATTCTGAGGGGACTTGACAGGGAGGATGCTTGGTGCACAAGTCTGGAACTAGGGACACAGTTTAAAAATTAGAGCTCTCCCATGCAATAGAGGTAAGGAGGACTTTTTATCTCACAGAATATAGTTTGGAATTTTCTTCGGCAAAAGAACAGCACAACAATATTCAGGGCTGAGTTAAGTAGATTTTTAACTGGTTTCAAAGAATTATGAACTGAAGAGCATAACTGTGTAAGAGATAACACTGTTCACAGTCTGAAAGTGGACTTGAGGCCACAATCCAATCAACCATGATCTTATCAAACGGCAGAAGGGGTTTGAGGGGCTGAATGGCCTACTCCTGTTCCTCACTCTTCTGTTACGTTCAATATATTAACAATAAATGAGGGTTACCACTTATTGCAGGATTGATTTAGAAGTCATATTTCTTTTTTGAAAAATTGTAAAATAATTATTTCATAGAACCTTTCTCACCTTATGCAAAGCGCAAGGAACCGAGCACATTTGTGAGCTATACTTCGACCAGCTTCAAAGAAGCAAACTCGCACAATGCTGGAGAGTCGTTTCTTGGTTTGTGTGTGCAGACTTTCTTTCCCATCTCTGAAACTGCAATTGGACAATTCATCAAATACAAACACAACCATGGATCATAATATCAAATATTATAGGTTTCTACTTGCAAAATAAGAATCATGGACTCAAAATGTTAAAAAAAGGATTATGAACTAAACAGCATAACTATGCAAGAGGCCACATTTCTTTTTAGGACTATGGGCTGAAAATGAGAAAAATAGACATTGCTTCAAAAAGAGGAGAATACAAAGATTTGTTTGCAGTTTTGGAAACTCAAGTGAAGCTAACTGGAACACACGAAATAATGTTACTGCTTGGAGACACTGTCCAAATGTGCAGCGCAGGCAGGTGCACACAAGAGCGTGTGCATACATGGAAAGGAGAGAGCACGACGCAAACAGGAGCGTGCGCAGACAAGCACGAGTTGGGGGGGGGGGGTGCAATTCTTTCAATTGACACCAGTTGCTATGGGTTCAGAAGCTCAGCATAGTAACAACCTTTTAAACTACAGCTGGCTGAATCTAAACAGTTTGTGAGGGGTCAAAGATGTTGCACCATCAACACTCTTTTCACTTAGTTCCAAAGAGTCATCTTTAATTCTGTTTCTGTCTCCACAGATGTTGCCAGACCGGAGTCTCTCTAACTTTGTTTTTATTTTTATCACAGCTGTGTTGCTCTGAAAAATTGACTTCTTCAGTTCTCATTCGAAACAGCAGGGAACAATACACTCAGTTGTTGAAAGGAAGAATACTGAAGCTCTCAGGGAAAAAAAAAGACCCGTTACCCAACTAAGCAACCAGTAAACTAAAGACTGATCATCACTGTGCAAATAACATTGAGACATCAAAGAATTGAGGGATTATCAAACTGATCCACCTAGTCGTGATATTTAGAGCCAGTGATGCAGAATTATGTTCTTTTGACTACTTTTCTTCCTTCCACTCAAAAATATTGAGTCCGTGCACAAGCCAGAGAGAATTGTAACAGGGTAAAGTTTAACTCTGATACGTTTGAAATCCAGTTCTTTTACTGTTCTGGTTAAAGTTAAGAATTTTACAATAAAAAGTCTTTTTTAAACTGTTACTGAAGTAACCTAGAGTGTGATTTGCTTTCATCCTCGGAAAATTAGGATTCATGGTAGTTTCATGAAATCTTAACATTTGTCACGACTACAGGGACAGTGGGCCTTGATTTCCAACATATTACCCAAGTCAGTCATGACAGTTGGAATTCAGATCAATTATAGGCATTGCATTAGAAACATAAAGTTACTGTTTACACCTTAATATTGTTGAAGCATTGCAAAATTTACACAAGTGCCAGTTTACACACTGCTGTACACTGTATCCTACCTGCATAGTCCATTTGCATGGACTCCTGCCAACCAGCAGAGAATATCTAACACAAGACTCTGAGCATGTTCCGTGACAGGACCATCATCTGATATTTTGCAGAGTGTATTAAGCAGCCTTTCATGGAATTCCGAGAACTGTAACATGGCACATCGCTGCACCCTAAAAGGCAAAGCCACTGATTAGCCTAAGAAACCACACAACAAAAACAGAAGCAGCTTTTTTATTGTATTAATTTGGTCACACATTTCCTTTTAAACTTCTAAAGCGTACACAAGACATATTTCCTGACTTGAGTGGGAATAAAAAATGAACTACTTCCACACATTTCACATATTACAGTGAAAGTGGAAACATATTAAAGCTTTTCCTCACTGTCTGTTTCATGTCCAATCACTGCCCTCCAGTAGAATCACCTCCAAACAGTAAATTACGTGTCAAATATCCACGCCCAAAAAAAAATAGCAAAGTCGACATGTGCAGGCAAAAATCGCGCGTCTGCAATATTTTTAACCATTTATAATGACCTCCGCACTTGAGAATTTCATCATTTGCGGGGGTTCTCAGGAATGGAACCCTCGTGGATATGGAGAAATGGCTGCATACGGCTACTTTTGTGTCAATGGGGACAAATAGCATTTTGCACCAATATGGGTCATGCAGCATATTTGTGTTATTAAACTAACAGAAAAAGTTATCAAAGTTACTACCTCAGCTTCAAAGAGATCAAGAGATCAAAAACTGTAAAATGCACAACTCTTGTACAATTGTACAAGAGATCAAATGGTCCTAAAATGCAAAACATTTGATGTTGCAGGATTTCCCAAAAGATACGTCAGAAGACCATGGCCACCACAAATTTCAATTGGTGGTCCAAAGGTTAAACTGAAAACATCCGACACATTATTTAATGTGCCATATGTACTCAGTGATATTCAATCAAGTTATTGCAGAACAAGATTTTTTTAATGCTCATTTTAAAAAAGTGCATCCATCTGAAAGGCTCGACTTCTACTCCTCCATTTCCCTAAGTCTTCATCTTATAATTAAGTAATCTGGTTATCTTTTGCAATGATGTGGAATTAAGCAGGAAAAGATCAAGAAAGAACACAAGAATGGATTTTCAAAACCCATTCAAAAAGCCAAAAAAAATCCAAAAACTACCTTTCCTTCGGGATGCAAGTTTTCTTGAACCTACGAATAGTAACTGAAACTTCTTGCAGCAGATCACAGCCTCTCAGATTGTCAGGTTTCTTAGAGGAATTCCCAGACTCTGATGTTTTTGAGGTGGATGGCTTTTCCTGTTAATGAAAAATATTGGTTTACAAATTCACCCACACAGAAGCGGAAATTAATTTTCATGTATCAAAATCTACACGTTCAAACTCGTTTTCTTCACTATAGTACCTTTCCTGCTGTAACTTTAGCAAGTAACGAAGCAAGAGAGTGACTCTTGCTGTTCTGTGGTTTCAAGGCTTGCATTCTCATGACTGGCCTTACTCCACTGCCATTAGAATTCTCTTCATTTGCCTTCTCATTAGTTGATCTGATGTGAACTAAAAACGACCGATACTTGCCACCAGCCATGCCTGCTGAGAAAGCAAAAATGAAGAACGTTGAGTTTAATTTGGGTAAGCACAAATATCACCCACTCCACAGTTTTAGGATATGTTTTAATTGTATAAAGTTTTATTATTTGATATCAATGGTATGAGAACAAAAAAAAACAGAAAGGGAAGAAGCGAAGTGGATATTTTCAAATCTGTCTGCTCTAACAAAGTAGGGAAAATTCCAACTTATGCCAATTATTCATTTTTGAAAGCATGTCAAAATGTTATATTAAAAAACACAATAAATTCATGGTTTTATAAATTTAGAATTCACAACTAATTAACCTTTAAAAGCAAGTGATGCAAAAGTTTTCTGGTCAAATAGACAAGGAGTCAAAGAAAATGGTATCACACTTGGATTCCCAAGCAATCTTATTGAGCTCCTTAAAAAATAACTATTGTTGGTCATTGTCAGTTACAATTGTCCTTTTATTCTGGGCTAAATGTTATTTGGCACATATCAGTTGCAAGTGTCATAGTAGGTATGATTCCATCCAGCAGAGTTTTCCCCAATCCCACTGATCCAATTGCTGCCAGCACAACTTTCTGCCAACCATATACCACTCTTCTGTCATGTATTTAGTGAGTCTGCCCTGGCAGTGGGGCAGAACCTACCCAGCGACAATACCATTACACCAGCTAATCAAATGTTAAAGTCAAAACTGATTCAACAGGCTCCAAATAACTCCATTAACAATACAACAGAATACAAAATCAAATCTGGCATTTAAATGAGGACCAATTTCATGGCAAATTATATGCAATTAACACTGTCATTGCATCATCCCAGAAGTTAATCTCAGGTTGATCAATATATTTAATATAATGCCATTTAGAAGAAGATGCTTTTTACTGCAGTTGCAACTAATCCAGCTTGATCTTACCTTTAATTAGCTTAGGACTAGTTAGTGTCAACATCCCAGCATGTCCTGAAAGATCCAGGCCACTTGCCAACCATACAGGTCCACATAATATATCTTCCTTGTGTTCCTCCAGAAATTGACAAAGTCTGGGGCCTTCTTGGTACATAGAATGGAAGGAAAAATGTGGTCATACACCTTTGCACGGTAATAGTTTGACATAATTCTTGCACAATGAACAGTTTACACTAAGATGAAAATAAACAGAATGGAAACCCCATTAAATGCAAGTCTAATCAGTGGGATCATTTAACATCTAAGTGAACCCACAAATTATCCTAGAGAATTTGCACAACTGTATCACATAACGTTCATCAATTACTTTCCAAATTCCAGGCAATGAATTAGTTATAGCATTGTTATGAAAAGTGATTAGGTACTCAGAATCAATTAACACAACTTTATCACCTGCAGAAACAGAATTGCCAGCCCTTTGAAGCATGGGGAGCAAGAAGTCTGCTTTTAATTCAGTTCCACTTCTAAACAGTATTCACAAACAAAAGGAGCAAAATAAGTAGACTAATCAGCATGGACAGCTCTTGGAGGAACAGAACACAAGCTTACTTCCAGTTATGGGATAATGCATGCTTTGGACATGGAAACAAGAGGAGTAAAAATGGTTATGATTTATTCTGGGGAAGTAAAATTCTTTAATCTCATTCTTGCGCCTGGATAACAATTTATTCAAGCAATCTCAAATAGTTTTTTCTTAAATTAATAAGAAACCCTATTTCACTGCAAGACTTTTTCCCAAAACTGAACTGTGCTTTTGTCACTGAAATGTAACTGCTTATCGAATTAAAAAAATTAACAGTTACCAAATGGGCAGCACGGTGGCTCAGTGATTAGCACTGCTGCCTCACAGCACCAGGGACCCAGGTTCAATTCTAGCCTCAGGCAACTGATTGTGTGAAGTTTGCATGTTCTGACTCTAAATCTGGTGTTGTGTTATTAAACCCACGCTAAACATCAACATATATTTGATCACTTTCCCCAGTAGGCATTTATAAGGTTTGCCACCATTTACTCATAACTAAAGCAATGATTGAAATTCAAACTAGTCTATTTTCTTGAATAATTAGTAGCATTGCCCTTTCAGGAACTTTAAAACAAAAATATCATCTGCACATAGATTATCCGTAATATGATCAGTGGCAGGAATTAAACTTCAAATCAGCTTCTATTTTTCTCCTCCTACAAATTAAAATGACAAATGCATGCAAGAAGGTGGTATGAAATGCACACATTCATATTCATGTTCTCCCCAAAGATGTATTTGATGTCAATGTTACACTCAAGAAATATAGACTTGCACAATATAGACTTCACGTTAATACCAGTTGCAAGCATCTAGACAATTGGTCTTTCAAATCAAGTTTTATTTTGCTATTGATATCAGCACTATATATGAAATTGAAGTGTGGGATTTCTCTAAAATGTCACATTTTAGCTAACCTTGAGATTCATCCACATCCATGTCTTCACTTAAATCAGCAAGATCAGTTCGCCCATTTCTCTCTACCTCCACATGAGAAGCTGGAGATAAAGGAAACAAGATCTGCTTGTCCACTGCAGACTCTGCAAGAAGAAGCAAGGAATAAAAGAAAAAGTTTCATTTATATCAAGCCTATCATAACGTTAGGACATCCCAAAGTATTTTTCAGCCAATTTAGACAGGTGGTCACACCACAGATGAAGGGACCTGAAGGAGGAAGGGAATGGGTGACCACCAAGCAGTCCAAGAGAATCAGGCAGGTAAGTTCAGCAGTCCCCTGGGGTCTTGCTCACAAATTGGTATTCCATTTTGGAGGCTGGTTCTTCCAGGGAATGCACACTAGCACCACAAGCAGCCTGTCTGTACAGGATGGGGAGGACGAGAGTAAGGGCGATAGTAATACTGGATTCTATAATCAGGGGAACAGATAGGTGCTACGGTGGCCATCAACATGACTCCAGGATGGTGTTTTCTCTCCCTGGTGCTGATGTCACTGAACGGCTGCAGGGCATCCTGAAGGGGTGGATGATAAGGCAGAGGTCACGGTACATGATGGTACCAAGATATAGGTAGAAAGAGGGATGAGGTCTTACATCAAGAATTCAGGGAGCTAGGCAGTCAACTAAAAAGCAGAGACAGTAGGAACTGCCGATGCTGGAGAACCTGAGACAACAAGGTGTAGAGCTGGATGAACACAGCAGGACAAGCAGCATCAGAGGAGCAGGAAAGCTGATGTTTCAGGTCGAGACCCTTCTTCAGAAATGGGGGAGAAGGGGATTCTGAAATAAATAGGGAGAGAGGGGGAGGCGGATAGAAGATGGATAAAGGAAAAGATAGGTGGAGAGGAGACAGACAGGTCAAAGAGGCGGGGTTGGAGCCAGTAAAGGTGAATGTAGGTGGGGAGTTAGGGAGGGGATAGGTTGGTCCTGGGAGGGCGGACAGGTCAAGGAGGTGGGATGAGGTTAGTGGGTAGGAGATGGGGGTGGGGCTTGAGGTGGGAGGAATGGATAGGGAGGCGGGGATGAGCTGGGCTGGTTTTGGGATGCGGTTGGGGGAGGGGAGATTTTGAAGCTTGTGAAGTCCACATTGATACCCTTGGGCTGCAGGGTTCCCAAGCGAAATGTGAGATGCTGTTCCTGCAGCTTTCAGGTGGCATCATTGTGGCAATGCAGGAGGCCCAGGATGGACATGTCGTCCAAGGAGTGGGAGGGGGAATTGAAATGGTTCGCGACTGGGAGGTGTACTTGTTTGTTGCGAACCGAGCATAGGTGTTCCACGAAGCGGTCGCCAAGCCTCCGCCTGGTTTCCCCAATGTAGAGGAGGCCACAACGGGAACAGCGAATACAGTATACCACATTAGCAGATATGCAGGTGAACATTTGTTTGATGTGGAAAGTCTTCTTAGGGCCTGGGATGGGGGTGAGAGGAGGGGCAGGTGTAGCACTTGCTGCGGTTGCAGGGAAAAGTGCCGGGGGTGGTGGGGCTCGTGGGGAGTATGGAGCGGACAAGGGAGTCACGGACAGAGTGGTCCCTCCGAAAAGCAGATAAGGGTGGGGAAGGAAAAATGCCTTCGGTAGTGTGGTCAGTTTGCAGACTAAAAAGCAAGACCTCTTGGGTCATAATCTCTGGATTACTCCCATTGCCACATGCTATCAAGCAAAGAAATAGGATAATAGTGCAGGTGAATATGTGGCTTAAGAATTGGTACAGGAAGGAGGAATTTAGATTCCTGGAGCACCCGGGCCGTTTCTGTGGAACAAACAGGACAGTCTACACTCTAACCAGAGCAGGACTAACATTCTTGCGGGTCGGTTTGCTAGTGCTGCTGGGAGGAGTTTCAATTAATTCAGCGGGAGAGGGAACACAGACTGTTCGAATAAGGGCACAGCATCGTATAGTAAAACAATCATGCCAGAGCAAGTACAGCTGTATTAATTCTCAGTGGAATAAGGCCAGGCCGCATGGCCTTTACTTTAATGCCTGAGTAACACAAGTGAAACGGATGAGCTAAGGGCAATGATTGACACATGGAAGGGAGATACAGTAGACACAGAGATATGATTGAGGGAGGGGCAGGATTGGCAACTCAACATTCCGGGATTATGGAACCTTCAGGCAAGACAGGAGGGTTAAGAGAGGAAGAGGCACTGCATTATTAGTTAGGTATCAGTTACTGCAGTAAGGAAAGATGATATAACTTGGAAGGGACATCGAATGAAGCTTTGTGGGTAGAGTTTAGGAATAAAAAAGGGGCAGCCACATTGCTAGTGCTTATTATAGACACGCAGAGAGTCGACAGGAAAATGGGAGCAAATTGTGCAAATTCAAGGTGGTGAGTAAAAAAACAAAAGGGTTATTAAAGTAGGTGATGGAGTTCAACAAAGCCTTTGACAAGGTCCCACACAAAAGACTTATGAAAAAGCAAACAAACATAGGATATAGGGTAATTTGATGAATTGGGTTAAAAATTGGTTCAGTTGTAGGAGACAGAGGGTGGTGACAAAAGGCTGCTTTAGTAACTGGAAGCCACTGTCCAGTGGCATAACACAGAGATCTGTGCTGGGTCCCGTTTTATTTACCATTTATACACATGACATAGATGACTGTGCAGGGTTTGGATTAGCAAGGTTGCGGATGACACAAAAATTAGTCGGGTGGTTAACAGTGAGGCTGAATGTCTTGAACTGCAAGAAGCTAAAAACGGATGGTCAATGGGCAGATAAGTGGCAGATGAAATTTAACCCTTAAAAGTACAAAGGAGTAATTTGACAAGAAAGTAGAAAATGAACAATATGATACTAGGAAGTTCTGTGGAACAAAGGGCCCTTGGCATGTTTGTCCATAGATGTCTGAAGGCAGAACGGCATATTAATAGGGTAGTGAAGAAGACATGTGGGACACTTGCCTTTATCAACTGAGGCATAGATTACAAAAGCAGGGAAGTCATGTTGGAGGTCTATAGAACTTTGGTGAGACCACACCTAGAGTACTGTGCACAGTTCTGTTTGCCATATTACAGAAGGATGTGATTGAACTGGAGGGGATGCAGAGGAGGTTCACCTGAATGCAGCCTGTGATGGAAAACTGAATTTATAAAGAAAGGTTGGATAGGCTTGGATTGTTTTTGCTGGAGCAGAGAAGACAGAGGCAATCTGATCGAGCTGTACAAGATTATGAGGGATATAGACAGAGTGGATAAGGACCAGCTGTTCCCCTTAGTTGAAGGGTCAATCATGAGGGGACATAGGTTCAAGGTGAGGGGCAGGAGGTTTAGGGGATGTGGGGAAAATTTTTATCCAGAAGGTGGTGATGGTCTCGAATCAGATGCCTGAGAAGGTGGTAGCAGCATGTTGTCTCATATCCTTTATGGAGTACCTGGATGCGCACTACGCACGTCATAACATTCAAGGCTACGGGCCAAATGCTGGTAAATGGGATTAGGTTGAAGGTCAGGTGTTTCTCAAGCATCGGTGCAGATTTGATTGGCCAAAGGGCCTCTTCTGCACTGTATGATTCTATGATTCAATTACGCACTTTTGAACCAACTTTTTTGTAGGAAACAGCTGCCAATTTTCACACAGCAAGCTCCCACAACCAGCAACGTTATAATAATAGGATAATTCACAAAGGGATAAATATTGACCACTACACCAGGAGAGCTCCCATGAAGCTTCTTTAAAAGAATATTGTGGAATCCTTTAAATTCACCTGACAAAACAGATGGGGCCTCAGTTGTCAACGTCCCATCAAAAAGACAGTACCAATAATAGGACATCATTCCCTCACCCCTGCACCAGAGTAGCAGTAGCAGTATAAACTTTTGTGCTCAAGTCTCTGGAGTGAGGGTTCCTTCTACTGAATCAAGGCCAACAATTACTATTTAGTGACTACAGCAAAGGTTAATGTACTTCAAATACTTGCTATTCAATGTATTATCATCCCAATAACACACCAACTTGTAGGTTAATAAAGGAATAACGCAAGTTAAAATTTTAAGCCTTTTCAATTCGCTTCCCCAAGTAAGTAACTCATTAAGGGTGTTAAGTACACATATATCCCAATAAAATAGAAATCATATTTCAAAAACACACAAAAATTGAAGAGAAAATCCTTACCATTGACTTTACCTAAACCAGGTGCCTTGTTTTTCAATAAAGTGACTTGAATCTGCGGAATGCTTGTAATGTTTGAATTCAAGACAAATTTGAAGTCCACATGTCCGACCATGCAGGCTTTGGGCAACACCAGCTCAAAGACATGTTCCTCCCAGCTGGTGCTATTAAGACAAAAGTTGTGCAGATGTGTGTGAATAGAGTTTTTGCGTAGAAAACTACATTTCCCAAATGCTGATATTCCAGAAGCTGAAACAAATTAAGTTATGCAAATATAAAACACTGCCAATTTTATGCTACATCTCAAAGCTCTAAATATCAGAAAACAAACGGGTGAGGCAGTTTAGAAAATAATGTTCCAGTGAATATGAATAAAAACATACGACTTCTATTTAGCTTTGACACAAATAGAATGGGAAGATGGGAATTCAACATTGAGTATGGGCTGAATGCCTTCTGAACTCCTTCCATATGAATATTCACTTTCTAATAAATCTCTGCTGCTCCAGTTTTGAATCCTTCAAAACCTGAAGTAAGCTAATATAGACCAGTATGTAAAGTAGAAACTTAAAATTTCTCCCTCAGTTTCCTATTCAATATGTCTAAAATCAAGGTTCACATAAAACAGCGTTCATCTACAAGCACTGTAAACAGCCCCACAGGGGGCCTACAATTCAATTAAGGGTTTGGTCTATTGATTGGCTTTAAACACAATGATCCAAGCCATGTCCTCATTTGAGGGAAATGATAGCAATCAAATAGGTGGTGAGAACTTACACGAAGATAATCAGTCAATTTGGAATGAGGATTTTTTGCAGCCAGCAGAAATAGTTTGCCAAAGCTTAAACCAGTGTGTGCTGTGACCAAGTGGTAAAAAATTAACAATTAAGCCCTCAGTGCTTCAGTTCCGTCACAGCAATAATATCTGTATCAAAGTACTTTAGAAGCAAAACCAAAAATGTTGCCAAGGGAAGTGACAGAACATTATGAGATGGCCAAAAACTTGGATGACACGGGCTTCATGGAGGAGTGGGAGGGATTTCATGCAGGAATTCTAAAGCTTATACACAAGTATATATACTGCAGGACACAGGATAGGTGGATGCAAACAGTGCTAACTGCCAGGGCCAGTGCCTTCAGGGAGGTCCTCTTGGGCAGTACAGTTCCTCTCCCAAGTGGCGACCAATCAGAGCAAGACTGCCCCTTATATGCAAGCAACAGAAAGAATCTGTGAGGAGCTTCAACTTCAAATCCAAGCTCTCGTTCTTATTTTATTTGCTGGTAGGTTCATTAGTGAACTGGGTTTTGATCTTGGTGGGGTGTGGGGTGGAAGACGTGCCCCAGTACAAGGCAAATCAGGATAACCTGGGGGTTACTGCCTGCTGCCACAGAGATGACGGTTGTACTGGAAGCTTACAAAGGAGACAGAATTTTCTTAAACCTGTCAATAAAGAAACGCTCAAATGACTTGGGGTAGAGTCACATGAAATCACTCAGGTAATGCATTCCTTGAAAATTATGTGCAATCTCTAATTTAAGGCTGCCTGAATTGCTTAAGCTGAGGAGCTACAACATGGGAAAATGCACTGAATGTTATTGCAACAAACACAGTCATTTGCTAAATTTAAATCTTGGATTGGATTGAGATCCGACAAACAGTGAATAGTGTATTATCTACCTGATTAAAATATTCCAGCCTTATACAATGGAAACACATTAACTATGAACTCACGAGTCCGCAGCAGATATGTTGGAGAGATCGCATTTTTTTAAAATGTAGAAGTGTCTGTCAGTTATTTTGACAACAACTTTTGATGCTAACTTATGCCTCATGTACCAAATTAAATATTGTGGTGTCTAGGAAATTAATATTTTTCTTGTGTTATCGCTTTAATTTTAATGGGGGGGGGTTAATAATTGAGGATTTTGATGATTTTTTTCTACTTGTGTTTCAAATATACCACTGGTCAATTCAAATACAGAAGCAACTGTACTAATGAGTGCATCATCTATCACAATATTCTATAAAGCCCAAAGCACATAAAAAAGGCACTTGGTGGAAGCTGTTGAGAGCTAAAAATGAGGGCTGGGGGGGATTAAAAGGGGCCTGCAGGAGAAGCACCTGGGCCCATGATTTCTCGGGTCCTGTATGGTTATGAAAGGAAGGTCAAAAAAATTTCTGCAATTAGATACATGAAAAGAAAATTTCAAAGAGCTTTACAGTGCTGAAGATTATAACGTTACAAAAGCAAAAGGCCATGGAAGGGTCAGGATTTTAAATTTGAAACTCTGGGAAAGCAGAAACCAATATCAATCAGTAAGAGCAGAATCCTGGATGCAATCCTGTGGTACAAAATTTGGACAAGAGGAATGTTTTGGACGATGTTGAATAGGACAGCTGGCAGAACACTGGTTTACTTGAAGCTGCAGATAACAAAATAGGGATAAGGAGTTCAGTACAGATGGGGTAGACAGAATGGAGATGGGCAATATTATCTAAGTGGAAGGGGATACGTCCTTGCAGTGGAAAGTAGTGAGTCAGTTAGTACAACGAAGTTGCAAATCAGGTGTGCTCTGAGATGGTACTGGAGAATAGAAATTTGCAGAAAGGATACAGGGCTTGTGATTGTTGATGGCAGGGCCAGGATAATGGCTTCAATCTTTGACTGGAAGCAACTGCATTTCAGCAATGCTGCTGTCTGACAATAGTGGTATGCCGTAATTCAAAATATTTAAATGGTACTGAACAATATAACTTAAGCATTATCCAAGAGTGGGTTCAATTTATTTTCATTTTACAGATTGGAAAGTCAAATAGATTTGCTCAAACTTGACTAATGTGCTTTGCTGTACCTGTCTGATTGTAGTTTCCATGTGCGAGTATGCTGAGCTGCATCCCCATGGTGCTGTTGGTGCAGGTGTTGTGGATGTCGCCTCTGCTGCTGCTCCTGCTGAACCTCCACCCAACAGGGAGGGACAGTGGCTGAAAATCGTGGGGTCAAAGTCTCAAATCGAGTCAGTTCCACCAGCGATGTCAATACTTCTGCAGTGAAAGGCTGGTCCACCAACAAGTCAACCCCTGGAATCAAGAATGAATAGGTCAAATAAATTTAGCAGCATCTTTCCCCCACTCCCATCCACAGACAGACAGCCAGAGAGAGACTCTTTTTTTGTTTCATGAGATGTGGATGTTGCTAGCTGTCATCCATCCCTAATTGCCATCAAAATAAGGTGCCTTTTTAAACCACTAAGTTCTTTCACAGTTTGGTATAATCGAATGGCTTGTTAGATCATTTGCAGGTTAAGAATCAATCTCATTGCTGAGCGTTGGAGTTACACATAGGCCAAAACAGGTAAGGCTAGCACATTTCCTTCCCTAAACAAGAGATCAGTGAACCTGATAAATTTTTTAACAGTCTCCAATGGTTTATTGCCACAATCACTGATTAACTGAATCCATAGTCGACAAGAGTGATGAGATTTGAACCCATGTCTGCACAGCATAAACCTGGGCCTCTGGCAGTACCATGGCCTAATGGATAAGGCACCTAACTTTGGAATGGCTCATGATGTTACTAGAAGATTGCAAGCTCAATTCCTGCAATTGCATAATGGTATCAGTTGTGGCTTAGTTAGAAGGACTCTTCCCTCTGTACCAGAAAGTGGTATGGGACTTTAAACCACAAGAGTCTAGAACAGTAAATCTATGATGCTGCTCAAGTAAAGAGGCTTGGTGCACTGACAAAGGCAGAGCTTTTCAGATGAGATGTCAATCATATTTCTTATAGGACTCTTGTGGTACAGGGGTGGTGTTTCTACCCTTGAGCCAGAAGGTTCAAGTTCAAGTCCCACCTTCTAGGTGTGTTGTTACATATCTGAACAAGTTTGACTAAAAATATTGGACTTCTGGATGGCATCACTATTATGCCACCATCTCTCCTGAATGGGCTGGCTAGGAGAGCCTAAATAGCACTTTTGCCCAGAATTATTCTGAATTACCACAAGCACTGCCATTAAAAAAAAACACATCCTCCCAATCTTCAAGAAACATAGATGATTTTTTTTCCTCCCAAGAGAACCATTCCAATACACATTGAAAAATGTCAAACAAGTCAGCTTCATGCAGTCACAATCTTGCTCAATCCTACTGACTCAATGTCACATACTGTTCTCAATGTACCCTCATTACAGTACAACTGACTCCAAGGAATGAAATTAAATCTCAATGTATAATCCCAAGGTGAATATTTTCATTTCTGATACACTGCAAATTTGCCTCAATGGTCAGGGATTTCCAATTATTAACTATATACAACTGGAAAATGTTCATTTTTTTTAATTAAAGCGATGAATCTTTGAGTAAAATCTAATTAAGTTTGACTTATGAAAGTCCCAAAAGCACATGATTATGGATTCCAATTATCTCACTTCCGAAGTAAATTTATAGCTTAATGAAAACTCCAAAAAAAGTATCTTGAAGTAATGATGTTTTGTTATTGAAGGCAGAGTTTGTAGATGTGCATTTTGATGAACATCACAACATGGCTGTTTCTAAAATAGGATGCAGAAATGTCACTTTTGCAAAAATATGGCAAAAAAGTAAAGTTGCTGATACACCACCTCTGAAACTTCAGTACAAGCAAGATTCTTACTCTAATTTAATTTGGTTATTTTAAAAAATTGCATATTTAGGAAGATTATTAAGTTTGCTTACTGTACAAGAATGTGACTATTACAAAGATAAACTAAATGAGCATACACAGACAAAGCATGGAATAATGCTGACAGCACTTGCCCCAAAATGGCAGCGTACAAATTATTGAGTAAACACCTTGAACATTTTAAATGAATTGTCAGTCCTCAGTGAAAACAAGCTTCTGCCATCCAACTCAAAAAGATTTCAAATGGTCAAGCAGTAAATATTCAGCTGCTTCCAGCACCAACTTTTCAATAGTATGCATGGATACAGACAAAGACACATTCATCGAGATCTTTTTCACAGAACACCAATTCTACTGTCTTCAGTATGGCAATTTGTACCCACAATAATTCATCAAAAAGAAAACTCTACACTCTTGCTTCAAGAGCAGTGGAGACTGGGTCAATGAACATATTAAAGGCCAAGCTAGGCAAATTTTTGATCAACAAAGGAGTAAAAGGCGATTAAACACAGGAAGAAAAGGGGAGTTAAGGTCAAATCAGAACTGCTACAATCTATTGACTGGCAGACCAAGCATGATAAGCCACACTCACGCTCCTATTTTTATGACCACCAGCAGAATCTGTGCAGACTGCTAACAATAAATGGATGTTTCACTTGCTTTGAACTTGTTCTCTTATGAAAAGTTTGCAGTTTTATCCCCTCCAAAATCAAGCCTCTTGTTCTTCCATTCTTGCACCCTGCTAAAGCTGGGTCCATTCCACAAATTTCTCCACTTGTCACTTCTTACAAGATCAGAAATTCACCAAATGAAGTGCTGTTGCCTGAAATCTTTACCATGTCCCTCAAACAGCTCAATGCAGTTTACATTTAAATCAACTATGACAAGCACAGATAATTCTGTAGGAAAACTGAGATTGCCATTTGAAACAGCAAACTCCAAAAAAGTTATGAGAAGAACAATTTATCTTTGATAATGCTGACTAAGCAGAAAATGTTGGTCTAGACAGAGTAATTCTGCAGACCAGCTTTCTCCAATGCAAGCTCATCTTACTTGGATAACTAAGCACCTTCTCAAAAAGAAGCAAAGGAATAAAATTATGAACAAAGGAGAAGCAAGGCAAATACCTATCGACTTTCCAGATATCGACATTCTCACCTGTAATTCCAGGACTGGATGGGTTAGATGTGTGTCTGCTTCCCTCAGACAACTGATCTACTCCTTTAGGAAGGTTGCCGTCCACAAATATATCTGTTTCATCTGCATCTTCACCAGTCCCTCCAATCTGGAGGAAATGAAGTTCTCCACCTTTTATTTTAGAAAAAAAGAATTTTATCACAGCACATTCCTCAGTTCCCATTCCCAACTGAGTGTCAAATTAGTTTGACCTGCAGACAACTTTTTATTGGAAACATTCACAGCCGTTCCTCAATCATCCTATTTGAACGTATACACAAGTATAATATGCAAATCTGCTATTAAGGATTAATTTTAATCCCAATTAATTTTGTACCAAATGCCCATTCTATAAAGATTATGATCACGCAGTACTTGATGACAATAATCATCAATTTTCAAAAATGCACTTCAAATAACCCTTCCGATGGTAAATAACGTTTTTATTCCAGCCAACTGATTCGATTATATTTTATGATTAATTATATTACAGCAAAACAAAGACGACTACAGATTAAGAGTCAGTCATACAGCATGGAAACAGACCCTTCAGTCCAACAAGTCCATGCTAACCACAATCCCAAACTAAACAAGTCCCACCTACCTACTCCTGGCCCATATCCCTCCAAACCTTTCCTATTCACATACTTATCCAAATATCTTTTAAGACATGGTAATTGTGCTCGCAACCACCACGTCCTCTGCAAGTTCATTCCACATGCGAACCACCTTCTGTGTAAAAAATTTGCCCCTCGTCTTTTTTTAAAATCTCTCTCCTCTCACCTTAAAGATATGCTCCCTAGCCTTGAAATCCCCCCATCCTACAGAAAAGACAACTATCATTAACACTATCTACATCCCTCATTATTTTATAAACTTCTATAAAGGTCGCCTCTCAACCTCCTATTCTCTGGTGATAAAAGTTCCAGCCTTTCATTGTAACTCAAACCTTCCATACCTGGCAACATCCTGGTAAACCTCTTCTGAACCCTCTCCAGCTTAATAATATCCTTCTATTAACTGGGTGACCAAGACTGGACACAGTATTGCAGAAGAGGCCTCAGTTTTACTGTCTAGACGCAGGTTAAGAACTCAATCTGCATTCCATTTCATTACGAGCATAAAACAAGCACAGATGGTACCTAACTTGTGTCTCTAAAACTGCAATTTAACATCCAGGCAAAATTATATTCTTGTTGACTATACATTAGCAATATATACTTCACGTTTACAGCATTTAACAATGTTGCTTCTTCAAACAGATTATCCAAACTGCCCTTTCTAAATGAGCCACAAAAGAAGGGCCAGACCACCATTCTCTCAAATAATATCAAATCCAAATGCACCACCATCATATTCTAATGTGTAACTCTCTCTAAGTGAAATGGAGATGCTTTTCCAATAGTGTACTAAGTAGCAATGACAATTTTCAAAACAACAGGAATTAATTCCAGCCACTTGCTCATTTATCAAAGGAGTGAATCATTGCACGAACCAAGCTCTTTGGGTGGTTGCAATAATGTCCTAGCGCCTTTTGGACTTAACCACAGTTAACAGAAGAAATGCTAGTCACAAGAATCTGAAGAGATTACTACTTTGATCAGTCTCAGTCTAGGCTGAAATGGGTGGCACTGCACAAACTGCCCATAATCCAATGTGAAAGGATTACTTCGATTTTTACTCTTCATGCAATCCTAAGCAGCTAATTTTCACAAGGGGAATTCTCAAGCAAAAACTGCTTCATTGGAATATTTTTGATAAATAAATCTATTATTTCATTCTTTTGGTACTTGAAATTGCATACCTGTCTCGGGTACCATGTAAAAATAAACTAAAGGACTCTTGATGAGCTACCAAATTCCATCGCAATTTATTTTCAACAATGCATTGGAGCAAATGGATTTCTTTTTGATTCATTCACATACAGGATGTGGGCGTTGCTGGCTAGGCCAACATTTACTGTCCATCTCTAATTGCCCTTGAAAAGATGATATAAGCTGCCTGCTTGAACTCATACAGTACTCGAGGTGTGGGAACACCCATAAATGCTGTTAGGGAGCTTCAGAGTTTGAACCAGCAAAAGTAAACAGAGGTGATACAGTTCCAAGTCAGGAAGGCGTGCGGCTTGGAGGGAAACATGCAGAGGTTGTGTTCTCATCCATCTGTTGCCCTTTTTCTTCTTGGTGGCAAGGGTGGATTTGAAAGAGCCTGGGTGAGTATCTGCAGTGCATCTTGTAGATGATACACACTGCTGCCACTGTGCATAAGTGGTGAAAGGAGTGAATACTGAGTGGTGGCTGGGGTGCCAAATGAGCAGGCTTCTTTGTCCTGGATAATATCAAGCATTTCAAGTATTGTTGGATAGTCAGAGAGCAGGAAACCGTCTCGACTTGTTTATGCTCTATTCCCCAGCAGAGTCCATCTCCTTCTCCAATCATCATTTGCCCTGCTTTTCAACAGTGAAACACATAGTTAAAGAAACTTAAAAATGTTTCCAAACACAAGTCTGAAAACAAAAGTAACCTGCAGCAAATTATTTCACATCAA